ATCCTTCAAAACGTAAAATATAGACACAAAAAGTAAATGAGAAGTAATGTGGATACTGACAGTCTGGTCAGAGAAAGCCAGATAAACTTTCCCAGGAATTGTTCAGGGGAGTTTTGAGAGGGCTGAGAAAAAGAATTGAAAAAATCTTGCAGCTGGTGTTTTGAACAGTTGTTTTCTCACAAGATGTTTACCAAAGGGTGTCTCCTTAATTAACCAGTGGTGACGGGATGTTGATTAAATGACCAATCAGGTCCACCTTTATTGAAACAGTGTATAAAAAGGAATGGTTTTCTAATAAACTCATTATTAGCCTGCTAAAGAGAGTTCGAGTTTGTGTTGCCTCCACTCCCATTCCTGACTCAACAGTGACAAAGTAACAAACAGTAAACTTAAAAGCTTGTATTACCCAAGAACGAGTGAGATTCATCTATGAAAGCAACACTATTAATACTCAAAATGTGTGTCTTAATACTAAACAAAATATTTGCCACTTCAAAATTCATCCAGTCCCTAATCAAAAAACTGTACTTGTATATACTAATAAAAATTATATATACTTAAAAACTACTTATACTTTTATAAAAATCGATAACAACAATATAGTTTTGCCTCATAAAAATAATTCTAATTTTTATATTTATAATTTTATTAAGATTATCAGCTATAATTTTTCATATTTAACACCAGTAACATCTCACCAACTAATCAAAAACAATTACACAATATATCACAAGCTATCACCTACTCCTAATAGAATAGACCTTACATTAATAAGACAATTAATTAAACACCAAGACCTAATTAAAATTTTTTAAAATATCCAAAAAACAAAAAAACCCCTCTAATTTCAGTCCATCATAATACAAAAAACATAAGCAAAATTCTAAAAAAAAATAAAACAAGATACAAATCATAACTAATAAAATATAATCTTTAAATAGTTACCAACTACATCTGAAATTTTCAATACATTATACCACCGCATTATAGCTTTGTTAATATTAGTTCAAATAAATTTAAAGCTATTATTTATAGTACTAATTTCAAATTAAAAAATACTACAACAAAAAACAGTGTTAACCTCCTTATCAAATATACATAACAAAACATTAAGAAACACCTATTATTATAAAAATTTGTACTAAATAAAAAAATTTACTCGTTTTCTAAAAAAAATGAGACGGGGTTAGAAATTTAACTTGGGGTAGAAACTAATTTTGGATTTAGCTGGAGTCTGCAGTTTGAACTTGTTTAGTTTGTTAACTTGCTGTGCTCGCAAAAGGCCTGCAGAGAGAAAAAGGAGATTCAAGGCTACTTAGAAAGGAATACAAGCATCCAAGCTAAAGAGAGAAAAGGAGAGGCCCCACTGACCTTGGGGCTGAAGCAGACGAAAAAACTGAATCTGGCTTACAAGCACCATATTACAGCTATGTGACTGAAGAACTGCACAGGTTTATAAAAATTCATAAGACAGTTTCATACATATGCATATGTCTTTTATGTATATGCAACCGGTTAGGGGATAAAATATCCTCGAGAATTTTTGGGAGAGCGCATGTCCTTTTAAGAACTATCCCACATGCATCTAACATTAAAATAGGTCATACTAGCTTTACAACTTTTACAAGTTGTAGAGTTTTTTTCCCCACAAATCACTACTACAGCATTTCAATACTTAAATGACCCTAACTGAGGCAAAAGGTTATTTTCTTGGCCATGATGTCCTTCAAAGTTGTGCTCATATGACTTCCTTCTTTTCCATGCCATTTGTAAGAGCCAAAAGAGCCCTGGACATCATCCTTTACTTCACTCATCCTTTCTTAATGTCAGCTCTATGGATCTCCATCCGCAAAGATAATGTGGAGGGTACATGGTATAGGCCATAGATAGTAAGCCTTAGCCCATGCCTGTCTCCGTGGTCATCATCCCACACAAGCCAACAAAGGAAATCTTGTGGCTGGTGTCTACTGTGAAAAACAGAGTAGAAAATAAAGAATTTTTCTAAAGTTTAATAAGGGATAAAATAAGAAACAAAAATCCAGTGCTAGGGTGCTCCTGGCCAACAGCCAAAGAACACGCCAGTATATACAGACAGTGTTATCTTTATACAGTTGCATCACTGAGATACATGCATATTAATGTGTTTCATATATTATTCAAACATTCTTGTGAAGTTTCTGATGTTTTGGGAACTCCTTTGTTTGACTTCTTCACACTCCGGCTTATCTGCATGACATCCTGGGTATCAGGTCAATATATTTTATTTCTTCTTGTGTCTCCATCCTGCTATTTCACATTCTCTGATAAGGTTTTAGTATGTCCTCCTTAAATTTAACATGGTATTCTCTAATTGTCCTCTGGTGCTCCAGTTTGTGTCATGGTTATCTTATCACTTGGAGGGGTCGGTCAGTGGATGGCCTTACACTGTTCTTCTTAGCTACACAAAAGCCTTTTCTATAGTACAATGTCACTATAGAGTCCTACACGGCGCAAAGCACCAAGGCTCCATCAGAATGCTGTTTAGACTTATTTATTGAAGCAGCATGTTGCTTTTATAGTTTTACAAGATGTTTACATTTACTTAATGAACACATACACTGCCGATTGGTCATAAAGAGGAAACAAAGCTTTCAATAGGTGAAAGGAGCCACACCACAGTGCAAGCCAACCAAAGTCCAGATCTTTTGCTTACACTTTTTTCTCTCTCTTTCTTTGCGTCTTCATGGTGATAGCCTTGGTAAATTCCTTGAGAGAGATATGAGGCTTTCCTTATCTTCAAGAATCCTTCACTGGCTCACAAGAACAGCACAGAAATGTCATTCCCACGGTACAATACATTCATCACACTATTATTTCCGTAAGTGATACATAGATATTATAGTCATTGCACCACTATTTCTATGGGTATTACAATGCATACTTAAACTGATAGATTATATTTATAATAACAAGCAGATAAAAAGAGTTATAATTGGTACTATTTCTAAATACTTATAATCACTAACAACATGCAAATTCTAATACATAAATTCAAAAGCCAATATTATCTGGTTGTTTTGCACATTACTATAGGCCGTCCAATAAAGAGGAGGCGGTTGGCATAAGAAATCAGGCAAGCAAGGCAGGACTCCAATGTGGTGTCAAAACGGCCTTCTCTTCTGGATGAGCTTGTGAGAAACAAGTGTTCACTTTTTAAAATTTTAATAAACTTTAGCAAAAACTGCAACAAAGGACTAAATAAAGAAAATTACAGTGCTGGGAGACCCCCCATGACTATCAGCCACGTGACTCATTGACAAAATGGATGCTCCTTCTTTTATATCCTTAGCCCCTCCTAAAGTTTTGTCAGTCAGTTCTTTCTCTGTCGTCCATTGATAGAGATTAATTTTTACATCTTGATTAGAGGTCAGGTGTTGTTTGCTGCACCTCCTGGTAACAAGCTGGCCTCCTCTAAATGTCTTGAATACTAAGGCTGTTATAAGGGAGGCAGGGAAAGAGGATTTTGGAATGGCATATTACATTAACATTACTATACATCTACATAATAGCCATCTCTTAATTGTGAGAGCCAACTATTACATTGCTTATCTATAACAAATCCACCTTTTCCTTTCTATCAGTCTTTTGGCTTGAACCGTTAACTCTTATTTTTGATTCAGATAATTTACCTTTACTTCTCAAAAAAAGAAATACTAGCATCTGTGGGTGAGGATGGTGGGAAGAGGGAAATTGGACAAAATGGATCACAGAGGCCAAATCAGTCTTGCCCTTCAGTCTCTGTTGGATTAAGAGACAACTGAGGAATGATAGAGGTCTGGTATGTCCTAGATTGCAAGGCAATATGTATTCTATTTGACATCTGTTAGAGGTGTGGCAGTTATCTTCTGTTAATTGGGCAGTTTTCTTTATCTCTTCCACAAACCAATCCTCCCTCCGGAGAGACATCTGTGTGACAGCGGTCACAGGGGTCTTCAGGTGAGGGGAGAGACAAGAATGTTGACTCCATGTTCAGAAGGCTTGATTTATTTTTTTATGATATATATATATATATATTACATTATAACTATACTAAAAAGAAATAGAAGGAAAGGTTTCCTCAGAAGGCTAGCTAAGAATAGAATGGAAAGAATAACAAAGATCTGTGGCTCGGACAGAGAGTCCAAGCTATCTGGTCTGTGGTTGGCCATTAATTGTAAACATTCAAGATGGCCCAATCACAGACACACCTAATGCATTCCACAGCAGCAGATAACCATTGTTTACATTTTGTTTCTGAGGCCTCAGCTTCTCAGAAGTGAAAAAATCCTAAAAAGGATTTTTAGTGAAAAGATGTCTGCGACACATCTGTTGTTAATGGGCTATTGAATGTCACTGCATGACTGATAAAAATTACAACATCCCATTGTGAGATGCCCTGCCCAGAGGGAGGAGCCTAGCATTCCTAACTGGATATAATCTGTGGTTTTGGGACACCAGATCAGCCTTTCCGCTGGATTCCCAGAGGAACAGCTGCCTTTTCCACTGGATCTTCAGAGGAAGACTACACCCTTCTACAGGATCACTGCTCCAACAGAACCACATCCGCCACTCCAGGAGGACTGGAAGGACTGCAGCCACAATTCCAATTGGACTGCTACCAACACCCTGACCAACAGGGTGTCAGGTTGTGTTCTGACTCTGTCAGTGTTGACAAGGAAGTGAGTTTTCTTGAGAAGTTACAGCCAAACCAATCAGTGGTCAGATTTGAATATTGGCACCTGGTGTAACCACTGAAGATATGCCGCTGAGAACACAGGCAGTTTAAAGTAGAGAACTCCTAGAGGACTCTGTCTCTTTTGTTCCGGTCAGTGAAGAGTTCAGACCTCCCCCACCCAGCCACAGGCTGGGTGGGGGAGTGGAAGCCATGCAGCCTTGGCTGAGGTAGGCCAGGACCCCCGGACAGAGAAGGGGTGTCACTATAGGACACGAAAGAACACAAGCTCACACCGCTGTTCTCAAGGTGAAGAAAAAAGGGAAGTTTATTTTCTGACTCCAACATTTATAGTTTTCCAAAGGTGACAGCGGATTGGAGGGTGACAGTGACACCTCTCCAATGACACTGGTCAAACCAACAGTCCATCAACTCTCTCCTCCTCCATAAAGGAATGCAAAACAATGAGTTATTTACAGAAAGTGTGTGAGAAAGTTCACTACAAGAATGTCAACATCAGAAGGCTTAGAAAATCTTAAAAAAACAGGGTGACATCTCACCCTTTTCCGTTTAAAAAAGAAAAAGAGAAAAGAAAATGAACAATGTGAAAAAGAAAACATGAACAATGTTCAGTGTCCATTTGTGGAGGAATCATCGGAGTGATCGCTCTCATCATCTGCATCCGAGTCATCACTCAATGATCTGCCCGCTTGATCCCTTTCAGGTTGGTCACGGTTTCAGTCTTGCTCATCAACTGGATTCTGTCTCTGCGGTCGCAGGTCAGGGCTAACACATTTCGAAGGTACCCAGCGTACCCCAGTATCTGTGGATACACAAGCATACCCGCGTCCCAAAGCGATAAGGTCATAGGGACCTTCCCACTGTTTGGTGACTAAATTCCACACCCGAACCTTTGCTGGAGACTGATGTGCCTTGTCCGCAGCCTGCAACGAGAGATGGTGATTCAAAATGACAGGATTATTTGAGTTCTGCGGCACAGTGAGATGACTGATTATGCACAAAGCTTTTGCCAACCGACTATGCGGGGTTTCACCCTGAATTCCCCGATTTTGTTTTTGAAGAACCCACTTCAGAGTACCATGAGCGCGTTCTACAATAGCTTGACCAGTCAGAGAATGAGGGATACCAAACTTGTGCGAGACACCCCACAACTGCAGGAACTGCCGCACCTTTTGTGATGCGTAAGCAGGACTATTGTCGGTTTTCACAGCAGAAGGGATGCCCAGAACGGCAAAGGCCTGCCTCCAGTGGGCGAGGACATCATGGGCCTTCTCCCCAGTGTGAGCCAAAGCCCACATCGCAGAGAATGTGTCCACAGTGACATGCACATACTTGAGCCAGCCAAACTCGGCAATCTGAGTGACATCAGTCTGCCAAAGCTCCAAGGCCCTAAGGCCTCTGGGGTTTACCCCTGCCGGCAAAGGCGGAGCAAGTGCGTGGCAGTCATCACATGACTCAACAATGTCACGAGCCTCAGTTGGCATCAGCTGAAACTGCTTCTGCAGGGTATGTGCGTTTTGGTGGAAAAACCCATGCGATGCCTTGGCCTGCGTGAGTGTATCAGGCTGAGGCGCTACCCACGCTGGGTTAGCCAACTTGTCAGCCCTCGCATTACCATCCACTATAAAGCCTGGCGAATTGGTGTGACTCCTTACATGCAGAACATAGAATGGATGAACCCGGGCCTGAATGGTACACCACAAGGCCTTCAGTAAATGAAACAAGGCAGAATTACTGACCTCCTTCAAAACCGAATGACCCAACCGCTGTGCGATACCAGCCACATAGGCAGAATCGGTGACCAAGTTGAAAGGTTCCTGGGAAAATTTCTCAAATGCCATGACAGCAGCCCTCAGTTCAACCAATTGGGCTGACCCATCCTCATGACCTTCCAGGACCTGCCACTCAGATCCATCCCTCCAAGTAACAATGGCCTTTCCTGTTTTCCCTGAACCATCAGTGAAGACGGTGGGTCCTTGCATGGGTTCCTGGCTATTTTTGGGCCGCAAAGAGATTTGTGTGAATTTCGCCATATGCAGTAGCCTATGACTGGGCAGATGATAAATGATCTGCCCTGAAAAATTTTCCAGAGCACTCTGCAAGGACACACTGTTTGCAAAGCTCCAGTCAAAATCCTCCCGTTGCACCGGGAGTATGATCTTTGCAGGATCCGCACCCATCAATTGCAAAGACCGTTGCCGGCATTTGATTATCAAGCAAGCAATCAGCTCAAACAATGCAGTTGCCGTCTTCTGCGGCTGATGGGGCAGGAAAACCCATTCCAAGATGTGCAAGGAATCAGACCAATTGTCACTCCACTGGCCAATGATACCCGTGGGATGCAAATCTGGAGTGGTGATGAACACAGTGACATCAACGGAGGGATCAATGCGATAAACTTGGCAAGCCAAAACAGCTTGCTGAACCACCTCCAACGCCTTACGCACCTCAGGGGTCAGTGTGCGAGGTGACTTTAGATCAGCGTCTCCTTTCAACAAATCATACAGAGGAGACAGCTGTGTGTCAGTTAGTCCCAAGTACGGACGTAACCAAGTGATGACACCTACCAATTTCTGAGCATCATTCAGTGTCTTCACAGAATGCACAAATTGCACCTCCTGGTGACAGATCGTCCGTTCCAGAATTTTGACCCTCAAGTACTTCCAAGGTGGTTGTTGTTGAACCTTTTCTGGAGCCATCTGCAGTCCATGAGCATGCAAAGCATCGAGCAACCGAGGCTGAATCCTCAGCAGCTCATCCTGGGTGGACGCGGCCACCAAAATGTCATCCATATAATGATACAAACATGCATCAGGAAACTGCTTGCGAACTCCAGACAAGGCACGGGCCACATACCACTGGCATATGGCAGGAGAATTGCGCATGCCCTGAGGCAACGTCCTCCACTGATATCTCTGTGCAGGCTCAGCCTCGTTAATCGCTGGCACTGAGAAGGCAAACTTCAGTCTGTCATCGGGATGCAAAGGAATAGTAAAGAAATAATCCTTCAGATCCACAATGAGGACCGGCCAGTCTGCGGGAAGCATGGTAGGTGATGGCATGCCCGCCTGCAATGTTCCCATGCTTTCCATCACGCATTACCCTTTCGGAGGTCTTACAACAACCTCCATTTCCCAGATTTCTTTTTGATGCAGAAGACAGGAGTGTTCCAGGGACTGGTAGAAGGCTCCAGATGACCCTGGTCCAACTGCTCCTGCACCAGATTCCGAAGGGCGACCAATTTATCTTGAGGGAGGGGCCACTGCTTCTCCCAGACAGGTTTGTCCACCAGCCACCGTATAGGAGGCGTAGGACACTCTGCGCCCTTCACTGCAGTGGCCCCCATCAAAAATCCATCCCGATGCGCACCCCCCAGACAGACAGAACATCCCTTCCCCAGAGGTTGGAAGGAGTAGAAGTAACGTGAGGCCTAACCCAGGCCGTCTGTCCCTCCGGGTTTGCGACCAGCACAGGCTGCTGGCTCACGAAGCATTGCGCCGTCCCTCCCAGGCCCGCGACAGATGTCCCCACAGGATCCAAGGGCCACTCCGGGGGCCAGGCGGCAAGAGAGAGAACTGTGACGTCAGCACCACTGTCGAGAAGCCTGTGGAGGTGGATTTCCGATGGCGTCGCACCAGGAACAAACAGGATACACAGCATCTCGGGACGGTCCTTGGTCAGGACAGCAGTCCAGTGAACTTGAGGCGGCCCAGTGGATCCAAAGCCACCAGCTCCACGCGACCGGTCAGCTGTCCTGCGAACAGAGGACTTAAAAGGCACAAGTTGAGCAAGTCACGTCCCTTTCAGGATTGTGACGGGGGGATGGGTGTGGAGACCATGGCACAAATCTGCCCTGTGAAATCTGCATCAATGAGCCCCAGGTGCACAATGATGCCCTGAAGGGTGGCACTAGACCTCCCCATCAGGAGAACACTCATGCCCCCACCCAAGGGATCAAAGGCATCCAGAGGAACCTTGTGTATTTCACAAGATTCTAAGACAACTGTTGCTGCGGTGCAGACATCCACACCTGCAGGTGCTGGCTGCAAGCCGGCAAAGGAGACCTCCATCGGCTCCGGGGTCTGGAGAGCAGCTTGTGTCTGGGCACGCCCCTCCTGCGCACTCCGCTTGCATTTCCTGAGCCCGGTAAAGCCTGGCCATTAACATGAACAGTTGCCTTGCAAACACTGGACATGTGATTTGGCCTACCACACCGACCGCACAAGAACATGGGGAATTTGACCTTCTGTGCTTTCTTTCCCCTCTTCTTGCCAGCCTGCGCAGTCCCCTGCTGTGGCCGCTTGCCCTGTGCTGCCACCCAAACTGGCTGCACAGCAGCAGCCACGGCAGCAAACTTCCAACCCGGGGGGACGATGTCCGCACAGGCCTCCGCCATCTCAGAGATAGTAGGAACACCAGGCAGAGCCAATATGACCTTCCTACAAGCAGCACTACAATTACACCTGACAAGGTTTGCAATCGTAACCCTCCTTGCCAGAGGATCAGGCACCTGCCTCTCCACAGACATAGTCAGCCTTGCCGCAAATGCCATGAAAGGCTCATCATCCCCCTGGACAATAGTCGAAAACGGCTGCTTCAGAGCAGCCATTTCCAGGGTCTGAACAATCGCTGCCATGCCCAGCGTGTGGCACTGGTCAAGCACAAGGGGATCGAATCCAATCTGCCCCTGAACATTTTCATAAAGCCCTGTTCCCAACAGCATGTCAGCGACAACCCCATGCCTGGGGTCCTGCGGCGCCAGCACAGCATTCTGCACCACTGCATGGGCCACCAAACGAGCCCACTTGGTCTCAAAAACACCATCTTGCACAGGGTCAAAAAGAGAATGTGCCACACGATGGAGATCGTGAGGTGTCAGCACGTCCGTAGCAATCCTCCGGAGAATCTGCATAACCTCAGCAGACCCCAACCCATGCTGAGCATGGCCCCGGGCACCCACCGGCCTCCCCCTTGGCCATGTCAGCAGTTGCGCTAAAGGTAAACACCTCAGCGCCCTGTCGCGCCGCAGCCCCGGCAGGGGGCGCCTCGGCGGATGCAGGTGCCGGCACGGCCCGCAAATCCGGCGCGGGCCGGGACGAGACCGGCGCGGGGCCCCCGACCCCCGACACGGGGGAGGGGCGGGATGCCGAGAGAGGCGCGGCCCGCGGAGGCGCGTCACTGCGGGGCGGCACAAGGGAGCCCGTCAAGCCTCCTATGAGCGTCCGTCCTAAGCCGCAAGACTCCACAGCGGGCACCGCCCCCACCGAGTGGAGAGGGGCGGGCTGCCCGCCCACCGGAGCGGGGCCGGACAGAACACCGACCGACGCCCCGCCCCCGGCTGCTTCCACCGACTGCGCATGCCCAGCAGGCTGCGCAGGCCCAGAGACGGGCGAAGTTGCCCCCCCCCCCCCCCCCCCCCCCCCCCCCCCCCCCCGCTGAGGAGCCCGACTCGGAGGTGGGCGAGCCCGGCCCTGCCACGTTAAGGGGAACGTCGTGGAAACACCGCAATTCGGACAAAAAGTCGTCACCGAATCAGACTCAAGCCGAAGCGGAGGCTGACCCTCAAAGGCCGGGAAGGCACAAAGGGAGGGCAACCCGTCCCCCGCCCCGCCGCCGGCGCGGGGCGGGGTGAGGACGGCCCGCCGAATCCACAGAGCCCTCAGAAACCCACGGGGCTCCGCCCCCCTGACCCGGGACCAGCTGGCCAGGAGCCCAATCCACCCCGGGGGAACAATCGCCACCCCCCAGCACACCGTCCCGGGGCGGGGAGGGGGACTCCACATCACACAGAAACTCAAACTCCCCCTCGTCCACATCCGAGACAGAAGGGCTCCCCTAGGAACTTCGAGGGGTACAAGAACCAGACCCCTGCCAAAGCTCCTCTCATTTTTTCCACTGCACCAGCAGCGATCCCACATCTACGGTGCAATTATCAAAGAGGGCCTCCATGAGGCGGACCCCCACGAGAGACCACGCCTCCCTGGAGAACGCCTTTGCAGGGTCCGAAAAGAACCCTTGCGCTCGGGCCCACAGAAACAATCTCTCAAAATCACTCCAGGAAACAGAAACCTGTTTCCACTCCAGGACCCCCCTCCAGAGATCCAAAACGAGGGAATCCTCCTCGAAACCCACAGAGGTTGCCATCACCCCAAGAACAGCAGGCAAAGCACCAAAGAGAGGGGGACAACACGACCTCACCGCGATCCGGACTCTGTGTTTCAGCCTAGGCTGCAGTACACTTCGACGGTCACCAGATGTCACTATAGGACACGAAAGAACACAAGCTCACACCGCTGTTCTCAAGGTGAAGAAAAAAGGGAAGTTTATTTTCTGACTCCAACATTTATAGTTTTCCAAAGGTGACAGCGGATTGGAGGGTGACAGTGACACCTCTCCAATGACACTGGTCAAACCAACAGTCCATCAACTCTCTCCTCCTCCATAAAGGAATGCAAAACAATGAGTTATTTACAGAAAGTGTGTGAGAAAGTTCACTACAAGAATGTCAACATCAGAAGGCTTAGAAAATCTTAAAAAAACAGGGTGACAAAGGGGGATGACAGGAATGGAATCAGGCTGGCCCCTGCAGGACAGAGGGGTGGAGAAACACTGGGATGTCCCAGGCAGCCCCTCCCAGAGAGAGGGAGAGAGCCTGTGCCACCTTGAAATTTGATATCATGTGCTGGCAGCATGCAGGCAGAGGAGAAAGAGAATGGGGGAGGGGGGAAGGTGCCCAGCCGTGGGAGTCCCAGGCAGGCCGCTGTGAGATTTTAGCCATCCTGAGGGCAGCAGAGCCTGAGATTTCAACCCTTTCTTAGACAGAGAAAGCTTTGTGAAACACTAATCCTCCTTGATCTGAAAGAGAAGAGCAACAGCCTGGGACCTGAGATGTCAGAAGATGGGAAAGTGTGACTGTGGTCACAAGGGTTTTCAGGATGAAGAAGAGATGAGAATGTTGACTCCATGATCAGAAGGCTTGATTTATTATTTTATGATATATGTTACATTAGACTATACTAAAAAGCAATAGCAAGGAAAAGGTTTCTTCAGCAGCTAGCTAAGCTAAGAATAGAAAAGAAGAATAACAAAGATCTGTGTCTCAGAGAGAGCAAGAGCCAGCTCTGCCATGAGTGGTCAAGAAATCCAAACACCCACAGGAGACCAATCATGGGTCTACCTGTTGCATTCCACAGCAGCAGATAACCATTGTTTACTTTGGTTACTGAAACTGCAGCTTCTCACAAGGAAAAATCCTAAGAAAGGATTTTTCATGAAAGATGTCTGCGACAAGCTACTAGATATTTTTTTACTCTTCCTCACTCCTGAATTGAAATTTTATGAGCTACTCCATTTTCTGTATTTATGTATAAATGATAAAGGATTTTTCAAACAAGGGTAAGCTTAAAGCATTTAGGGGGATGCAGTGGTTTGAGCCGAGTGACCTGCTGCAGTGACACCATGTGCAGGAGTGAAGTGAGCAGAGAGAGATGAGGAGGGTGTGGTGGTGCCCTCCGTCTTCAGGGAAGAAGATCTCTGTTGTCAAGACCCTCAGCCCCAGGGGAGGTGAAAATGGGGGGGACTGGTGTCCTGAAAGTGAGAGACTGTTGTTTTTTGGTACTTGGCAAAGCATCCTTAAAAGGAACCCTATAAGCAGTTTTGGTCCATGGATGGTGGTGA